GCCTTCCCTCCCGTCCCTCGGTGCGAGGGGAGCCGCTTCCGCCTGCGGGCAGCCCCTATCCCCAGCCGGAGCAGCCCCGCCCGGCGCCGGGGCAAGGCTTGCGGGCCCCAGGCTGTTTCTACAAGTCCCTGACCGTGCGAGGCCCTCGCGTGGCTGAAGGACCCCGCGTTCCGCAGAAAGGCCCCTGCGCTGTTAGAATAACAGGAGTTTGTTGTTTTCACTTGGAAGATGAGTTAGTGATACCCCTAAACCCAGGAGCTGTGCTTGGAGGAGACAAGAACACCCTTGGAAGGCTGCTTGTTGGCACTTAGCTAGTTTTGGCTGGTTCTGGCCAAAGAGTAGCATCCAAAAGTAACCTATCCTTCATTATAACACATTATAATACTAAAAATCACACCCCTGGGGGAAAGACCCCCAGACCCTTCCCCACTGAACAGGTGCAGTGTAGTGATGCTGACCAAGTGTGACGCCAACGCCGTAACCGGCGGGCAGCAGGGGACTGCCCCACGGGCTGACGCTTACTGGTAAGAAATTGAATAAAGACCGATGTCTCCTGTGGATCGGGTACGCCAGCCTTACCTCGCGTCCGAACCTGCGCAGCATCGTAACGAATCCAGGTCTCGTGCCAGTGCGTGAGATTGGTCACCGCACCCCGGGAACGAACTCCCACCTCTGCGGCCACAACGTGGCCAGCTGCGTCCTCCTCCGCACGAAAGGCTGGCGATGGGCATGCGCTGACCCCTGTTTTGAAGCACAAACAAAGCAGCCAGCAGGGAGGCTGCTGCGCTGAGGACGTGCCCTCCACCGGCCCCGATGAACAGGCTCATCTGCCGGCCCTTGTGCGACGTGTCAGCGCTCATCTTGTTCGGGTTTCACATACACTGATCTGCAATTTTCCTGCCTTACGAAAATGAAAGCTGATGAAGCCCTCGGCAAGGTGGGGGTGCTGGTGCTGCGCCGGCGACGCATTCCAGGTGAGTCTGGGACTTTCCCTAGGGAGGGAACTGACAGAGCACACAGGCTTAGTGCCCAGCTGGGGCCGACCCACACAGGTACAGCGAACGCAAAACTAGAGCTAAAACCAGCATAAAGCAAGTAACGAGTTACTCTACCAGAAGACAAATGCTGAGGGCTCCAAAGCACGAGTAGCCTTCTAGACAAAAGTGGTATCTTTTGTTACGAGAAGAAACCCCAAGCAGGTACACCTGTGCGAGGTCTTTTAGACCTTTGTTGTTGTTTTCAATTACATTTGTGCTAAGAAAATATCCTATCGCTACCTGCAAAGCTGTCTCTTCCGTTAGGCTACGTGGCTACAAGAGAACTACCACTAGAGACTCCAGGGACTGGCAGACACGAGACCTGCAAACCGTTTAACGTGCACAACATGCTGCGAAGACACTGACAGCTTGACAAAGCAATTCTGCCCGGAGGCCGTTACCAGCTCTGAACTCGCATGTTGCATTCCCCCTCCTCCCAAAGCTGAGACAGACAGACGCATTTTATATTTAGTATCAGAGCGGCACAGAACGGGAAGGAGCCTCTTGCCCTCCACTGAGGATGCCTGACCAGTCTGTACTATCATAAACAGCCAAGGTACATCTAAGCCTTTTCATAGGGCAATTAAAACTAGTGAAAAAATTGTGTCCTATGCTCTAGGAGTGCTATAATAACAGCAAAATATTTATTTGAAAGCCAGCTATTTAAAAAATGAGAAGTGCTAAAGCATTGCCTAAGACCTCCGTAACCAACTTTACCAGCTCAGAGCACTCTGTGTAATGACAACAAACCATTTCCCCCACACCAGATTACTTGGATTAGAGTCAGAAACGGTTAATGTGTCTAGCTGAACGACAGATATACGCCCACAGATAAATCATACAGGTGAAAGGATAACTTATCTGCCCCGTGATACTACGCGTTAGAGTTCACAACTGCTCTCAGCAAAAAAAGCCATCAACAACTACACGTTAAACTGAGCTCTTTATTTAATGACCACTGTTAATGGTAAGCATACTAGCATTTGGTCTCTGCTTTTACCTTTACAAAAATTTTCTTAATAGAAGTATAAAGAGATTTTTCAATAGAATTGGAGGTTGCAATTTGGATGCTACAAAATGTTGGGGTTTTTTTTAGGATAAAAATAAGAGTAATTCCAGTTAAGTGCAAATTTCACTTAAGGCATGACATCGGTGTCCAGTTTTCACAGCCGGCAATATTATGAGATATACTGTACCTGTTTTTTCATGGATAGATATGAAAAAAAATTCTGCAAAAAAGTGCTACATGAGTACCAAGAAGTCAAAAGTACACCTTCTAGTAAGCAAAGTGGGTTTCTTTTACTTGGATGTCATAAACATGGGTGAAAAGTGGTCAAAACTCCAAAGCAATATTTAATGCAGTTGATATTTTTATGATCCCACCTGTTTTCCAACTAAAAACAAATATAATGAAATAAATGTAATAACTTCTTAGTATCATTTAAGTGCAAATGTTAAGTAAGTTTAAGCACAGAATAAAATTTTTCAAAATTGACTTTGATAAAACCAGTTTTTGATGATCAAAGTAAAGTTTATTAAGACTGAATTTGGCAAACATTTGGCAAGTGTTTTTAACTCAAAATGTCAATAAAAACACATTATTTCCTAAACATAAACAGTTATCAGTATAAAAAGAAACATGAAACACAACTTTTTTGTAACTATTAAAACCTCTGTCTATAACAATATTTTGCTGTGAGAAACCTCATCTCTGAAATACACACGTGCATTTCTGGAACTGCATTCCCTAGTGGGTATAGCCACGGGGATAAATACAAAAGTAGAATAAACTTCCACTATTAAACTTGTAATAATCTCTCTGAATATGGAAAGAAATTTTTTTTTTCTGTATTTTTATTTATCATTTTTTTACCAATGTTATTTACATTTGTTTGTTTCTTGTAATTCTGTCGTGAAATCGCCATTTATTTACAAGACCAAGCAGAGGATCTGTAGAAATGATTGCTTCTTGAGACCAGAAGAGGGAGCTCAAATTAATATTTTTATTTATTAAGTTAAAGCAGTCTGTAACAGTGTAGAATTTAAAGGTAAAGGTACTTTTTAAACATTCATTAGACACTTTGGTATATTATACATCTCAATTATTTGCATCTGTAGTAATGGCAGTAATAGCTCAAAGTAAATAGCCTTTTTTAATCTTTGAATTTGGGTAACTGAGCCTTCCATTCCCTTCTCACTGGGATTTCAGCCGCCTCCACCAGTGGCTGTGGGACGTGCATGCACTCCCAAGAGCGCGCTCCTTCCCTCCCACAGCCGGCGTCCGAACGGAACAGCAAGCTGCCCTGCACCAAACGCACTCGGCCTCACCTCTTCTCTGCCCGTCGGCACATGAAGGCATCAGGCACACAGAGGCATTCTCGCTGATGAGAGTCCAAGCTTTGTAAGCTTCTCCCAGCTCTCGCCGTGAAACCTCAGGACACACGTACCACCTGAAAAGTCTGCAATCCAAGAGACATCTTCAAGTATTGTCAGGACAAACTGACTTACTCTCTGTTTTCAAAGGAGACTAACAAAGTTACCTCAGGCTCTGCTTTTGCCTCCTAAACTGCAGCCTCTGCCAGTTACTCTGTACCAAGTTCTTGCTGTGCTGCTTTGCAGGTTTAAACCACACAAAGTTTCCAAATTTTAAATTTTCCTGTCCTCTACCTTTAATGCAACACATGCTGCCACAGCTGTGAATAAGGACAAGGAATACAAAAGCATTTCTCGCTTCTTGAGGGACTCAGTCTGTGTTGGATTAGACATGATGAAAAAGCATCTGTTGGACAAATAAGTCTATATCAAACATTATATAATTATTTGTTTGCATGCAATAAATAGCTTATCCATTTCCACTTCGTGTTTTCAGAAGTTTAGTGTAATAGAATCATTGTTATGGACAGTATCAGAGAAACAGAATCAGGAGAACAGTACTACTAGAGAAATCTGGGGTAAACAGGCAGGATGCCTTCAAGTAGCTAGTAGGTATGTGTGGAAATGGGTTTACAAGCATACAGAACTTCACATGTAAAAAGTAGTTCTACGCTGGCAAGAATAGAGCCTACAGAAGCGTGAGAGAAGACGGGTATGTCTGAATTTTATATAAAGGTGATGAAACCAACAGAAAGAAAAAAAAAGGATTTAAAGAAAAGATTAAAATGTCAATATTAACAGAACAAATCCCAAGTAAAAATCCATGAACAAGATGAGTCTAAGGACTCTACAAATAAAGCGCATCATAAAAGTCTAAGAATAGGACACATTTTCTTTGCTTTACTACAATGTAATACTTAAACACGTGCTTATTCTCTCAGATCTCAACAGTTCTGTAAATCTCTAAATATGACTTTCCATTCTCAAAGGAATATCTATGTAACAATTCTGGAGATGAGAAATGCATTGATTAAAGTACCAATTTTATTGCAACAAGATAATTAAAAATTAATTTCAGCAATAGACCAAAACAGCAGAATAAAGAAATGAAGAAATACAAGTATGCAGGTAGGCACAGTGAAAAATACTCTTCCATACAAGAATTAACATTGTGCCATATAATAACTATTTCTTTATTACTCTCATGGCTTCTTTGGTGGCACTGGACCTTTCTCTTCCCATTTAGCAGCCTTCTCCTTTTTCAGCTGTAACAAAGAAAGACACCAACAGAGGTTCAAGCATTAATTTGCAAGTTGGCTAGTAATGCAATATTCAATCTCTACATCCGGTCATAAATTTACCAGAGCGATATCTGCAATGGAGAGAGCTACAGATCACTATTAGCCCAACCTAGCATCGCTTACTTCTGCATCGCAGGACAAAGGAGCGCTTCCACAGCTCTGCAGCTCCTCCCCTGTTCAAGCCAGGGCTGCCTTTGTCTCTGATAATGGCACTCTAGGTGTTTCTGTATACCTCGAGGCAAAAGTGCCCCGCAAATGTTCACGGTTTTATTTTAAGTCAATGAAAGGTAAAGACTTTTTATTACAGATGTGTAACAGACACAGTTAGACTAACAGCATGCACAAAATCACACAGAAGTTTGTTGCTGAGGTAGATGCTAAACCCCCATCTCAATGTCTTCTCACTGACCCACAAGGTCAGGTCTTCCTCTCGTAAGATTTGTGTATGTGGTAGGCTCTTATAGCATGGTGTGATTTACCAACACACACACATTTAACTCTGCCATTTTGTAGTAAGACTGTTAATCCAATTTATCTGTTCTTTTCAGAAGCCACAGTTGTTCTCAAGCACTGTTACATTAGTGAATGAAATTCTACCTAGAGCAATTATATACAAGGGATGCATGGACTTTTGTATCTCATCTAACATAAGATATCATGTTGCTATCAAAAATGCAAGGAAAGACAAAATAATATTTCTAACGTACTTTTTTTCCACATAAAATGGTGTCAAAAGGAAGCAAGGCCCCAGTACTGTTTTGGATGTCTACAAATGAACTCACTGCTAAGCAATCCTGTTGTTGGCCTACACAGGAACTCATGTTAAAACATTTTTCCACATTTGGAGGCTTGAGGTTTGTATCTGAAATTCCTACTACTTTTTGCAAATAAAAGAAAATGTTAGGGGGAAAAAAGAAATGTAGTAATTTGGGTTTGATGGTAACACATTTTCTCCTACAAACTGACACTGTATTTGTAACATCTTACCGTATTTTGTGATGATTTCCAAAATAAAGAAAATGAGTTAAAATTTCACAAAGCTAGAACAGCTTTCTCATTAACAAACACCTTGTTGCAAGCAGCGAGCACAAAAGCAGTTAAGATTTTAAAAGTTAATTAAGCAACATTGCCTTACAAAAGAATTCATGA